ATGTTGGAGAAGATGTGAGAAAATTGGAACACTAATGCATTGTTGGTGGAGTTGTGAAATGATCCAACCATTTTGGAGAGCAATTTGGAAACATACCCAAAGGGCTATAAAAATGTACATACCCTTTGACCCAGCAATACCACTTCTAGGTGTGTATCCCAAAGAGATCATGAAAAAGAGAAAAGGACCCACATGTACAAAAATAATTATAGCAGCTCTTTCTGTGGTGGCAAAGAATTGGAAATTGAGGGGATCCCCATCAGCTGGGGAATGGCTGAACAAGTTGTGGCATATGAATGTAATGGAATACTATTGTGCTATAAGAAATGATGAGCAGGCAGACTTCAGAAAAACCTGGAAAAACTTAAATGAACTGATGCTGAGTGAATTGAGCAGAACCAGGAGAATGCTGTACATAGTAACAGCGATGTTGTGTGATGACTAACTTTGATAGACTTAACCTTTCTCAGCAATGCAAGGATCTAAGACATCTCCAAAAATCTCATGATGGAAAATACTATCCACATCTAGAGAAAGAACCATTGAGTTAGAATGCAGATGGAAGCATACTATTTGCTCTTTTTTTCTCTTCTGTTTTGTTTTATTTCCTCTTTCTTGTGGTTCCTCCTATTAGTTCTAATTCTTCCTTACAACATGACTAATGTGAAAATATGTTTAATAGAAATGTATATGTAGAGCCTATATCAGATTGCACATTGTCTTGGAGAGGGAGGGAGGAGGCAGGGGGAGAAAAATTTAAAACCCAAAAGTATATGGAAGTGATTGTTGAAAACTAAAAATAAATTAATAAAAAATTTAAAAAAAATAAAAGAAAATTAGAATTGGGCAAGGGGAAGTCAGCAAATGAGAGTCCAAGAAATAACAAAACAAAATATAAAGAATGAAAAAATAGAAAAGAAAGTGAAACGTTCACAAGAAAAACAACTGATCTGTTAAAACAGGAATAATCAGACTACCTGAAAGCTATGATCAAAAAAAGAATCTTGATACAATAATACAAGAAATAATTAAATTGTCCTAAAGTATTAGAACAAGAGAGGAAAGTAGAAATAGAAAAAAATCCACTGATCACCACGTGAAAGAGATCCTAGGAGGAAAACCTATAAAAATACCATAGCTAGATACTGAAACCCCTGGCTCAAGGAGAAAATATTATGACAAACAAGGAAAAAAAATTCAAATATGGCAGAGCTACAATTAGAAACACACAAGACCTAGCAGAGAGTACAATAAAAGACTGGAGGTCTTGGAACACTATATATAGAAGAGCAAAAGAACTGAGGTTGTGGCCGAAAACATAGTACAGAAATGTTAAGCATAATCCTGAACAAAAAAAATGGATATTCAATGAATTGCCAGACTTTCAGGATTTTGCTGCAAAAAGACCTGAAATCAATGGAAAATTTGATATGCAAGATCCATACGAAATATAAAGTAAACATCAAAGACTAATTACAAGGAACTCAATAAGGACAGACTATTTTTTATATGAAGAAATGTAAATCATATATTTAAGACTTACCAGTAATTGGGTAGGTCAAAAGAAAGATTGTGGTAGAGCTTAGTATGATGTGATACTAAAAAGTAAACCATCTAGGAAAAGGTAAAAAACAGTAATTACCTTATACAAATGAGGTGCAAGAGGAAAAATGAATACAGATGAATTAGATGGAGGAGGACGGCAGGTAGTTCTGGAACCCTACTCTCATCAGGAATGGGTTAAAGAGGGAACGATATATATAAATCTAGAAGGGTACAACAGTCTTCTAAATTTAGAAAGAAATAAAAGACTAAGGGGATAGGGAGTGGGGAGAGGATAAGGGAAGGAACTTTGGTGGGGGGGTAGATTAAGGAATAGGAGGGCAAGGTAGCAGGTAGAAGTAAAGTAGAGGAGTCAGGAGGGTTGGGAAGTAAGAGACACACACAAACATAAAATAAAGATCAGGAATAGAGTTTATCAGGGGGAAAAAAGCAGGGGTAGTAATCATGATCTCAGAGTTAAAGCTAAAATAGATTTAATCAAAAAAGAAAAATAGGGAAACTACAAGATGTCAGTTATATTAATCAATATTGTTTTAGACTATTAAAATAACTAGAGAGTATAAAGTTGGAATATTGCTGTGGTATAGGAAATGATGAGTTGGTGGACTTAGAAAATATGGAAAGACTTGGACCTATGAAGGAAGATGTTATCCACCCTCAGAGAAACAGAGGACAAACCTCTATAGTACAGTCTTACATAGATGCATATGAATGTATATGTCTATATGTGAGTATGATTACAGATATCTAAGTATATTTATCTGTATGTAAGTGTAGGTATGTATGTGTATATGTTTGTGTGTATATGTGTATATATGTGTGTGTGTGTATCTGTGTAAATTGTAGCCTTCTTGGGGGAGGGAGAGACGAATAAGGAAGAAAAGAACAAAGTAAGAACTGCACAGCAGAAAACAAGAGAAAACTTACAAGGAAGCAAAGAAAAGATGGACAGTTCTGAACACAATGTGGAGTATTTATTATATAGGCTTTCTTGAAATGGAAATATATAGCTATATATTTTGAATCCTCTCTTATGTTCTGCTGTGCACATGGCAATGAGTTTTTTCCTTTTCTTATTTTGTATTTAAGTTTAAAATAAATTAATAAAAATTTTTAAATAAAAAAAAGAACTTTGGAATAGATTGTGAGGCATGGGAGACCCTAGAGTCCAGGACTGTCCAGCATGGTGTTCCTGAATCAAAGAATGTGCTATGCTCTATAGAAGAAGAATTGTAGTAGCTCCCAAGAAACATGAGATGCTCAAATTTAGAGACATCTCCACTTCCAATGTTCATATGGACGGTTTATGCTGGATCTGTGGTTAGAGTCTTCTGAGCTCCTCGTGGTCTGATCAGTCACAGTCAGATATACTGTACCTTGACCCAACATAATGATGTCATTTTGGTCCTCTTCAAGCATGAAGGACAACAACCATCTGTGTGATCTTAGGTAAGTTACTTAAATTTCCTGTAGCCTCACTTTCATCATCAGTAAAATGAGGAGGATGGACGGGGTGACCCCTTAGGTCCCTTCCAGCTTTAAATCTACTTTCTTACGATAATACTTCAGGCTTCTTGTCGTCGTCTTCGTTGTTGTTGTTAAATTGTTTTTCAGTTATGTCTGATGCTCTGTGACCCCATTTGAGGTTTTCTTGGCAAAGATAATGGGGTAGTTTGCCATTTCCTTCTCCAGCTCATTTCACAGATGAGGAAACTGAGGCAAACAGGGCTAAGTGACTTACTCAGGGTCACACAGCTAGTAAAGCATCTGAGGCTGAACTCAGATGAGCTCAGCAGACTCAGTTATTATTATGAGGGTAGCTGGGTGGTGCAGTGGATAGAGTCCACTGAGCTGAGCCTGGAGTCAGGTAGACTCATCTTCCTGAGTTCAAATCCAGCCTCAGACACTTCCTGGTTGTGTGACCCTGGGCAAGTCACTTAACTCTGTTTGCTTCAGTTTCCTCATCTGTAAAATGAGCTGGAGAAGGAAATGGCAAACCACTCCAGTATCTTTGCCAAAAAAACCCCATAAAGGATCAAGAAAAGGCGACCATGACTGAAATGACTGAACAACAACAAAATTATTATGATGAAACTTACAGAACTTAGGTTTCTGACCTCATGGAGTGTAGAGTCTATCGGGGGAATAAAACATTTACACAGACATTGTAATGCATAAAATGACATGTCATCAGAGAGTTGTAAAACAAAGCATTCTGTGAGTCCAAAGGGGATTTGAGAAGGTTTCATGGAGGAAATATTTGCATTACATTTTTAAAGACAGTTGAAATGTCATTCAATTTAAATTTGCTCTTAAATTATTAATCCATTAATATGAAATCCATTTTACTTCACTTTTTAATTCACCATTTTGCTGTCAGTTACCTCAGTGTGTCTGTGATTTCACCAATGTGACTGTTCCTTTCACTTAAACCAATCATAATACCTTCCCAACCCTCCATGCCTTAAGAGATAGTTGTATGTGTTGTTGTGGCCAAAAATAATTACAGCCTGATAGCCAACTGCTGGTGATGAGCCTCTCTGCATCTAGCTGGGCTGGCCCTTGACCGGAAGATGTGTAATCAGTCATCAGGCCATACTCTAGGCCTCTCCAGCTTCGTAGGACCTGACAGACTTTCTGCTCTGCCAGCCTAGCCTTGATGTATTCAGAGTCACATCTGTGCCATCATAAAGCACTGGAGGAGGCCTTTTGTGGAAAAATCTTCCTGCAGTTATAATGATTTGTATGTCTATATTTAGCTCATATCATCCTAAAGTTATAAAGCTGCATTAGGACACCTAAAGCATCTTTTCAGGAAAGACTCCTGCTTTCAGGGATCTGGACCTCTAGGTTATGGTTATAAAGTTTATTTCCACTCAATTGTTCTAGAAATGACTTCTCAAAGAGGGCATGGCTTGGTCATGGTGTGTGTATGCATCGTGATTCTGTCACTTACCTATTCTCTGAGAATGAATGCATGCTGTGTGACATAGTCATAAAACTTTCCTGTGGGCAGTGGCCCAAATTAGCAGCAGGTAGGGCTCTGCGTTCTCTAGTCACATGTAACTCTAGAGGGAAGGGAAGAATACAGGAAAAGAAGCTAAATCTAGAGCTGGAAGGGACTCCAGAGTTCGTCTAGTTCAACCTTATCATTTTACAAATGAGGAAACCGAGGCCCAGGTAACATATGCAACTTGTCCAAAGTTATACATGGAGTATCAGAGGTGAGATTTGAACTCAGGTCCTCTAGCTCCCAATTCAGGAAGCTCTTCTTGAAATTCAACCCTGGGCTTTAAGGAGATGATAAATTTCATTGAGCAACTTGATGACTTCTGATTGTTCAATGTTTCCTTCCTTTTTTAGATATTTGTCTTATTTTTCCTCAATAGAAACTCAATTCTGACCAATTGACACATTTCTCTGGCTTTCCATTTCAGTATCACACTCAACAACACTGGCCAGCTCCCTTTTTCACAGCTCAGGACAAGCCCAGAATTTAGTGCTGAGACCCTTGCCAGCTGCTGTGGATTCTACGACCATACCAACTGTATCAAAAACAGCCTGTTTGTGTAACAATATTTGATCATAGCTCATAGAACCTCAAAGGTCTTTGTAGTCATCTAATCCAGTGGTAACCCCTACAACTGTATATGAATTTAGAAAACAATAAATTAACATGATCTATGTTGTATTATATTTTTAATTCTTTTGTTAAGCATTTCCCAATTACATTTTAACAAGGTTCAGGTTACACTTGAGAGTTCCCAAGTGCCAGATCCATAAGCTTGGTGCCTCTGATATAGTCACCCCTCTCATTTTACAATTAAAACAAAATGGTTTCAAATTCCTTATTAATGTCCAGACTGATTTAATACATGGTTCTGTGAGGTTTTAAATTGTCCAGCCTACAATAAAAGAAACTGAGGCAGAGCTCTGGGATAAGGGCACTTTATTAAATAGTTTACAGTCCCCTCTAATGAAGTGGCCCTCAGCTCTTCCTCATGATCTGAGATGCCCTCGTCCTCCAGGGCCGTATTTTTATAAGGTTTGATACCAGGTTTAATATTTGCATGCTCTAGAGGGGCTCCACAGAATACGGAATCTCGTTGATTGACAGACCTTGCTTTGAGGGCCAAAAATGACGTATGAGCCAAAAATGGTATATCAGCAGGGGGAGTGTCTTGGGCTGAGTAAAGCATGGGACTTTTCCACTAAGTGGTCATAAGAGGGTCACCTGCTCATGTTGGATGAGAAAAAGTGGTTCAGAGGTACAAAAATAAGTTGGGGGATTTTCTATGTAATTGAGTCACCTCTGCCATGCTGGGCTTGATTACCATAACAAGGAAAAACAAGCGTAGAGAGCCTCTAGTCAGCTTCCTATGATTAAGCAAGTGAATTTCCAATCTGCAGTTCACAGCTCTGGGGCCTGATATACAGAACTTATAACCACTATCCCTATGGAATCATATCAAACTGATTAATACTGATTGACATAGAGTAGGGCTCCACATGAATCACTTCTCATAGTTCCTACCGTACAATTAACCCACCAAAGTCTTTAACAATCATGTAAAATTTAAAAATTTCATTTTGGTTCATAGTTCACTGATAAAAGTGAATACTCATGTGGGACCAGACAAATTTTCCCCCCCTGTGCCAAATTAAAGCTTGTCCTAAGAATGAGCTTGGGTTTGAAGGATTAAAAGCATTTCACACAAACTGTTATAAACTTAAGACCAGAAGCTATTGTGGAAATTGGTCAGCAGGGTACAAAGTGGAAATACGGTTTAATGTGTGAGTGATGTGAGATTTGGGGCAAGTGAAGGAAAGGAATGCTTTTCTTAGGTTTGTGGTCGTTTGGGTTTATGAATTTCCATAGTCATGTTTGAAAGGCATATGCATATTTATTGAGAGGGATGAAGTTTCCTTTTAAACATTCTCAAGGCCACTGTATTCTCCATTTCCCCAAGTAAATGTCAATTAAGGCCCTTCACAATTTTGGCCCCACTTTATTTCCAATTTTATTTCATTATCCACTCCTTCATGAAATCTATGTTCCAAACAAACTGAAAACTCCATCTCCTACCACTGTCTCCCATACTCTGCTTCTCAGAATCCTTGCCTATCCTTCAAGGCTCACTCAGCTCAGGGGCCAACTCTTTCTTGAAGCATTGTCTGGGCTCCCCCTCCCGCAGGTTATCAGTGCTATCTCCTTCCTAGAATTGCTTTATAATGTATTTATCTGTGCTTATGTTGTATCCCCAGTAGAATAAAAGCTCACCGAGGGCAAGACACTACTTCTTTTGCATGTTTGTTTGTCTTTCATGGCACCTAGCAAAATGTCTTGAACAGAGACGGACCTTAAAAAATGTTTGTTCGATTGAATTCAATTACTGCACATCCGGCGAAGAGATGTGCGAACCTGTCTAGGGTCTAGGGTCTAGACCACTGAACCTGGTCTGGGTGCGGGAGGGGGAATGGCCATAGCATCCGCCCAGCTGAGACCAAGGAACTTCAATCTGGTGAAGTAAGAAGGGTCTGACGGCCAGCGGAAGAACTGATTCTACAAGGAGGGACCAGAGTTGCCCTGAGTGACCAGTCTAGTCTTGAGAAGAGAGGAGGAAGAAGAGACGAGGCACTGTCGGAGAGGAGAGGTGGGACATGGGGGGGTGGGGCGGAGAATGATGGGGAGGAGCCGGATGGAGGGGGCGGGGCGACAAGAAAGGAAAGAGTGGGGCGATGGGGGCGGGGCGTAAAGAGGGTGGGGCGAAGGGGAGGGGAGGTGCCGGATGGAGGGGCGGGGCAACAAGAAAGGGAAGAGTAGGGCTACGGTGGGGGGGCGGGCGTGTAAAGAGGGTGGGGCAGAGTCCTGGGGGCTCCCCCTCTCGCCCAGCCCCACCCCGCATACATATATATGCATATATATAGAGACTTCAACATTGGAATACTAGTTTTGCATATGCCTTGATACAAGGACCTAAACTAGAGTGGTAGCCCTAGTAGAGAGAAGGCCACAGATGTGAGAGAGGTTTTGGATTAGAACAAATGTCTTAGCAACTGATTAGATATGTGGGGTGAGTGAGGATAAATAATGGAACATAAATCAAAAGTTGTGACCTTGGGTTACTGGAAAGATAGTGATGCCCTCAACAGAAAGTCCCTTTTAAAGAAGAATGGGTTTGGAAGTAAAATAATGAATTTCGTTTTGGACATGTTGAATTTCACATTTTGAATTGGGACATTTTAAAATCCTTAACTTCTTTCAGAGGTCAGTTCAAGTGCTACTTTCTACACGAGGCCGTTACTGCTACCCCTTAGCTACCAGTGCTGACTCTACTTCTCAAAATTACCTTGCATTTACTTTTTATGTGTGTCTGTGTGTGTGTGTATGTATGTATGTATGTGTGTATACATATATATGTGTGTGTTTGTGTATGTATATGTACATATGTACATTTGTATGGGCATATTTTGTTTTCCTCAATAGAATGTAAGTTCATTTAGGGGGACTGTTTGGTTTTTGTCTTTATATACCTTCAAGGTGCTTGATAAATACTTGTTGACTGATCTTAAATTGTAGTTTCTTTGTAGACAGAAGCATTTCTGTTTTAGAGTGACTTGTATAATATATATAATTTGTTGCTTAATAACTTTTTTGATTAGCATTCCACCTTGGATTTTTTGAATTTTATTTTTAGCTGGAAAAGATAGAAGATGGAAGAGAAGAAGAGAGAACGAGTCTGTTTCTTTAATTTCCATGGAGAATGGTATGGAGAATCTAGGCTTGGAGCTTATGGTAACTTTGCCGTTATTGTTCATGTGGCTCTGTGAACTAGTCCCAATGCTGTCAGAAGCATCACTTTCCTTCTAGATTTCTGGTCCTGTTATTATGGCATTATCTTTCATTTAAAGCTATATAAAAGAAATTCAGAAATAAACACATGGAGCACATAAAATGAGTAACAGAGGGGCAGAAATAAAGGGGGAGGAGGGAGGAAGTTCCAGCTAGGGACAAAGCATCTCCAAATGGGATAAGGGCAGTCTTCCCTCAAATCTCCCAGTAATCTCTTTCAAATTACTATACTAATTTAGCATCTTTTTCTTTGAAAGCCTAACAATAATTTTGCCTGTTATTATAGGAGTAAAAACAAAATACAGAGGAAACTACATTGACTAAAGTACAAGGGAGTCATCTGAAAGATGAGGAGATTTGGCCTTTCCTTTTTTGGAGGTATGAGATTTCTTTAAGATTTCATTTCTTCTGTTTGATAAAAAGGGAAATAAAGGAAGAAGAAGCATTAGAGAAAAGTTCTGGTTTCGGGTGACCTTAGAGCTGGGGAGATTATGTCCACCAGATGGCGACAAAGCTTCAGAGGCTCTGTTTTAAAGAGATTGCCTCCAAAATCCAGCATGAAAATTTTTTTCCATTAAAAAAAATATGTATATTTATGCTTTTCCCCAAGAAAGCTTTAGGTAAGAAGTAAGATCAGTTTAGATTACATTCTCTATACTCAAGACATCTTAGCTTTGGGCTCTACATCTGTCTTCCTCCAATAAAGCTCAATCTAAGCTTTTCTCACACAGTTAACACCCTGGAAAAGAAAGTAAGAAGTAGGAGCTATATACCTGTTAAACAGGTGAGATGGCGTTTGGAGGAAAAAAAGATACTAGACTAGCCCCGAACGGCAACTCATATGTGTAATTCCAGCAGCTCCTAAGGAGGCTGAGGTTAGCAAATCTCTCGAGCAGGGCAGTTCTGAGCTGCAGTGGTCTGTGCCAATTCAGAGTCTGCATTAAGTTCAGCAACAATGTTAAACACATTGTCTAAAAAGGGGCAAACTAGCCCAGATCAGAAACAGAAAAGGTCAAGCTCCTGTTTGGCTTAGTAGTAGGATTGGCTTGTGAGTAGGCTCTACACTTCTAGCTTGGGCAAGATGGGGTTCACTCAGTCTTTTTTTTTTGTTTTGGTTTTTTTTTGATTAGGCAATGGGGTTAAGTGACTTGCCCAGGGTCACACAGCTAGTAAGTGTTATGTGTCTGAGGCCGGATTTGAACTCAGGTCCTCCCGAATCCAGGGCCAGTGCTCTATCCACTTCGCCACTTAGCTGCCCCACTTAATACAAAAAAAAGAAGGAAGAAGAAGAAAATGATACCTTTCAGAATGTGGAAGTTGATTATTTGGTATCCTCAAGTGACAGAAGGACAAATGAAAACAGTTGTTTTCCTAAGACAAGCAGCCCTTAATTGTACCTTCTAGTGTACCTGGATTAGCTGGGATGCTGTTAGGTCCAGATTCAGATGGAGATTATTCTGATGTGCTGCTCAATGGATATGGTCCTTTGGGCTTAACCAGGGTCAATATGAAATTTTCTATCGCAAAGTCTTGCTTTCATCCTATCATCCTGTCTTCTATTCCCTTGAACAAGAGCAGATTCTGGGGCTGCTAGGTGGTGAAGTGGATAGAGCACCAACCTTGGAGTCAGGAGGACCTGAGTTCAAATCGGGCCTCAGACACGTAACACTCACTAGCTGTGTGACCCTGGGCAAGTCATTTAACCCCAACTGCCCTCACCCCCCCCAAAAAAAAAAAAGCAGATTCTGTTGGAAGCTACACAACACATCCCCTTCTGAGTAAAAGTTGATGAGAATAGGCCAGGGTTGTTTCTCCATTCTGCATTTTACATTCTTCTCAAGAGGAGCCTGAAGTCTCTCTCCA